CCTCTGTGTATTTGGCAACCCGAATGGTAAGTTCCCGTGAACTGGCGGGTGTAGACATAACACTAAGTATGAGGGCATAAAAATCACCCTTTGAATGAATCTAAGGTAACAATCGCCTATACGCTGTTCGAATAAACGGCTACGTAAGAACTCGGAAGGATAGGGAAACGTGTTGCCTTTTCGTCTTTTCTGACTATGCTCCCACTGATTGCAGCCCGGATGAAGTGAAAAATGACTTTTACAAAAAGCTATCTATACTTCTTTATAAAACTAAGCGCTCAGAAATAGTACTTGCAGCAGGTGAATTTAATGCCCAGGTAGGTAGGTTAAAGTAAACAGAAAGATATTTAAATGGATATTCTTGGTATTCCGGCACAGCGAACATATAATGGTGATCGTCTGCTGCATCTGTGCTCAAATAATCGTTTACTTTTAGCAAACACTAATTTTAAGTATAAGGAGAGACATCATCTAACATGGCGACCCACTGCATCAAACCAACGATGGACTCAAATAGACCATATTGCCATCAGTCATCGTTGGAGAGGTTCGATAGAAGATTGTCGCTCATTCCGGAGTACCTGCTTGGACTCCGACCACGCATTTGCTTGTGCCTCACTGGATGCAGAAAAATCACACTAAGAAGACCCATTAGAATTGAATTCAGTGACAAGAAAGCTAAAAATAGATTCCAGGAAAAACTGACGTCACACTTAGGTAGTTCTGCAAACGAGGATGACCAAGATGTTGCATTGAAAGATATACGAACAGCTGTGGAAACAGCAGTGACGTCTAATAGTGATTTAAACCAAAGGGTTACGAAAAACCAATGGATTTCTGCTAAGTTTATAGCACTGATAGATTCGCGTAAACTCATCCGACCGGGCTCTGAACACGATGAAGAACGAGAGGAAATCAGATTTAGGTTAACCAAAAGCCTAAGGAACGACAGTGAGCAGTGGTGGACAACGAAATAAAAGAGATTGAAAAGGCAGCGACTGTAGGAAACACAAGACAACTTTTCAGACTAATAAAAGAAACTGGAATCAAGTAGTCAAGTCGGTGTATACACTCTTTGTCTTCCCTTAAACTGTGAAATTAAAATTACTTTATATCTTCCTTTCTACCAACTAACTCTTTGTTCTTGTACTATATCTTTATACACAATCTTTCTTTGATATACTGCCAACAGTGAAGTAACTTATATGAATTCAGTGTTCATCTTGTTGTGCTAATGAGGTGTAGCAACTTGGACCGATACATATATGTGCCTGGTCCTACGTATTTCTTTATTTACTATTTATTTCAGCACAGATATTGGTACAAGGAGGCACCAAATACATATGCGCCACACAAATCTCATTTGATATGTGTGAGGACCGTGATACTGCCCGGGTGCCCAAACTGAAGCAGACGACTTTTTTAGATAACCACACCCGGAGCCTTCGATCTAAAGGTCTGATCCATAAGGCAATGGAGCATCGTAGGGAGATGCAGTCCCATGGAAGCTGGTGGCCAACGATTGGTTCAGACACCATTTGTTCCTTCAGGATACTGGGGCACATATGCACCATTGGTTTAGAATCAGGGCTTTCCAACTCTCCTAGGTGGACTCACCGTGTCCGTGCCCGTTTAAAGCGCCGGACATTTGCTTTTCGTCCTCTCAATTTTGTAAATAACACTCGTTGTGCGAGAAGGCAATGAATAGGACTTCCCTGGCAGAGGCTATGCACGCGTGGCCATTTGAGAGGGAGACCGGACTTTCCCCACTTTCGGCCGAACCAGGGCATTTAGGGGGTCCTGTGATGCAGCTGAATGACTGATTTTTGGAGTAATGAAATATTACTGTTACACTTCCTGTAGACAATCCAGTTAATTTTTTGATGAAGACGTCATTTTGTCTTTGAGAATGGGCGAGACAAGGCATTCTAGAGAGTGCCTTAAAGTTCGAACTAGACATTTCAGTTTATATAACTAACGCTGACTCCTATTGAAGGAAAATGTTTGACATCGTCGAGTCACCGACAAACCTCGACCCCGAACTTTAGTCGATGACAACGTAGGTATGCTAAGTGACAAAACACCGTTCATAATACCAGCTGTTTTAGAGTTCTTGTAAAATAAAATCAACTGTTAACGGATTAGTATCACTCCACTCCTAGCGCTTCGTTATCCAGATGGGTGAGACTAGATTCCACTGCCATAAGGTTGCCGTACAAACTCATAAAGAATATTAAACAACTGAGCCGCCTAGACATTCCAGTCACACGATGGGTCTTCGAGAACAATATCACAGGGCTCTTCATTCACAAATCCAATGTACGAGACATTGAAGCAACATCAAATGGATATAAATAGACTCCAGCAACTAAGTTACCCTCTCAGGGTCACATGATCTCTTAAGTCATGGAATCCACCTGAACAACTCGTTTTAAATTAAGGTTTGTCAATTATGCTAGTCAAAAATTTGAATCTGACAACTCAATTTATACACAGAATGCATCTTTACCGCGAGACATTAAGGGAGTAAATAGGAACTCCTTCGAAAAGTTTTTGAATGGAAAATATGAAGATGTTCAAAAAGATGGATTGAACTCTTTGTTTTATTAAGACATTTAGGCAACATCCTGCAGTACTAAAAATCGATTAATGATTGACGTCCAACTCGTTGAGATCGAATACAGAAAATACTAATAATAAGTTTAAATTTAAGTGATCGATTAAGTGAAATAAATAATGAAGCTGCAAACAGATAACCAGTGCCACACAAAATGTAAGCAAATAGAGGGCTGATTGACTTTATTGTTTCTGCATAGTTGGCACAACAATCGCAGACATCGACACCACTATAAACCGGAATGTCAGTCACAAAGATTGTTTGAAACAATAAACTGATACACGAAATAATTCATCACAAACTACAGTAAGTTATTTGCAGTGTTCGCATTACTGGTTAGTGCATAAACTAAATGCTAACAATAAACGTACGAAGGCAGTACACTGGAATGCTATACTTCAGGCGATCAGTTATAAAAGCACGGATAACTCTTAGACTGAGAAATCTATCTTTTATATATTATTGACCCATATTTTAGTTGGATAATTAAGGCTAGAATCGAACATGTCAAATAACGCTACTGATTGAAAGAAAAAAACAGTTCAAACTACATAAACCAAAGAGGCAGGGCAAAAGCGTTTACTACCAAAAACCCTAGTCAAAACACAACTAACTATCGAAGCTTTTAGTCCATTAGCTGTTTCGTCAAGAAATTAAGTTTTACAAACTTAAAATTGATGTGGTATTTGTGAAGGAACAGAAAAAACCTATTTGTTGGGCAATTAATTTCGGTGTGGAAAAGTCACCAGTCATATTTTTATATCCGAACTTACTAGTCCATATCCCCAGCTTCTATCTTCTTCTGATGTGATATCAGCGACGTATGCCAAAGCAAATGAAAATGTCACTGCGAAAATACCTGATATACTGATCATTGTAAAATACCACCAATGACTGATTTTCATCAGTGGTATTGGAGAACAAGTGAAGGTTACTGTTATAAGTAGGAAAGGTTTTCGTCCAAACATATCTGAGAGAGCACCCAGAAATGGTGCACTGAGGAAAGATAATATTCCCTTTACTCCATGAATGATACCATTCATTAGAAAGGTATGTTTGGGAAATGTCTCGTCTAAAACCTGAAACGTATAAATGGTAACATAACTAGAATATACCGAGATCATTGGGGTAGTTAGCAATCCGAAGGCAAAGAACTCTAGAAATATCACGATGGCAGCATGATAAACAGTGGGTTTGGACCAACATGACTGTTCCTGAGAAGTTTTTTGAAGGTCAGCATATCTTACTTCGGGCTTGTGGTCGCCAGATACAGTTAGACGCCTCCTACTAACCATGTTTTACAGCCTAATCGTCATAATTTGAAAATAACGTCAACGTCTCATTTGATCTTGGCGCATGTCGAAAACACCTGTACAATATCCGGCATTCAATATCTCTCTAGAAAACTAATGCAAACCAAATCATTTCTTTACTCTTTCCTTTTGATGTTAGTGTGAGGCTATAGGTCTTTGATATTGTCATCTCTACACTACATCACTACACAATAGGTGGATTTGTGCTACCTAAAGTAAGAAACTATTAGTATTTAGGAGTCATATTACGCAGTGATCTCAAAACCACTATTCACAGTAAGGATGCTGCTGCGAAAGGCTATACGCTATTATGGTCCATTCACGGGTCTTTACAGTATTTGGAGGATGAAATTTTTAGATTATTATATCCGATTTATGTGCGACCACATTTAGAATATGGGATTCAAGCAGCGAGTCCTTGTTTCAAGTATGAAGCAGATATGCTGGAAAGAGTTCAACGACGAAGTACTAAGATGGTACAAGAACTATCTGACCTATCTTATGAGGATAGATTGAGACACCTCAACTTATTTCCGTTATTTTACTGTAGAATACGGGATGATCCAATATTGACTTATCGTACACTAAACGATGACCTTGGTATTAACATGTCTTATCTTTTACTTCCATCTAGGAAAGATCATTTGAGAAGACATTCAAAGTTCGAAAACCGAGATCAAGTCGTTTACGTCTGGAGTTTCGTTTCTCGCACCGAGTAGAGAATTACTGGAATTCTCTACCGGGACACATAATATCAGCACTTTTTGTTGATATATATTCAGAACGAGATTGAACCTCCACAGTATTATAAACTGCAAGGATTAATATAGGTCGATAGAGCTCTTATCATTATTACTGAAGAGTGAAGACTGAGTAATCTGGGCACTCAGTGGCACTAATCATTGTGGATTTAAAAGTTATTTGCTGTTTATCTTATCCAAGCATCAATGAAAGAGCTTTTGCACTGCCACTTATGAGATTATTTGAAAGGAATTATAAGAAAATCGCGAAATTACACTGTTGTCTAAAGAACTAAACAAATTTACCACTTACTCGGTATAAATAGACAAATGTCGAAAAACAACAAGTAAATATTGGTTGTTAAGAATGAACTTGGTAAAAATAAGCTCAAGATGGCAACAGAAATAGTGGAAAAACGATAGTGTAGTGGTACATAAACAGCCAAAATAAATCGTTCCGTAAGTCTTGATGCTGACCTCACTAATTTTAATGGAAACATATAGCTGAAGGCGCTTAGTCGCGCGTCCGCACCAGATCATAAGTGGGTGCGCCGCATCTCTTATAACAGTTAGCCAGCTTACATTAAACGCTTCTCAATACATCGATAGCCTTTCAAATATATCGTTGAACCTTCTCATTTTGATATCTGATTTAACTGGATTGGCGTAATATGAATATAAAGATGTTAAATGTGAAGCGATTGTCAAACTCCAAATATCTGTGGCATCTTTAGTGTTTGTAGTGATAGGTTTCAAGACATGGTCCAGCACTTTCTGTACATCACTTTCATGTGCAATTCTTTAAAGGTTGTCTTTTGAAATACACTGTTGAGTTTTTGATAGAATTTTGTTACTGGACTGACATAAATTACTTAGTACGGTGAACATGCAGTGCTACTGAGAATGAAGCCAAAAATTTTGAAATCATCATTTCCGATCAGCTGATGCTGGCTTCTTTCTGATGTACCTTTCATTTTCTCAATACCTGAAAAATTCTTCATCTCTTGGTAACGAGCGGAGGATAATCTCACCCAATTCGTATCAAACTGACATCACGTTGATTCTAATGGGAGAGTAATGCAGTGTTTTTAATCCTTAATCACATGATCCTTGAGGCTGAACGTAGGACAACTGATGAGATGTATACTCAGTGTTTACGTTGGTGAATCGATGAACGCGGAAACATCTAATTGTTATGTCATAGCTTGGTTTTGCAGGTGTGATAACCGTAAGTTGCTTCTTCCTTTTCTTATTAAATATATTACTCTATCCCAAGCCCATATATGTTCATCAGAAATGTTAAACGTAATACATATGGCTATCACATAGGACGAGTTAGTATAAAAAGTCAAGTAACTTGCATGTTAGGCAAAGACTAATAATAAGATTGGGGTACATGAAAAAGAGAATGAATCATCGTGAAACATTGAAGCGTTCTTTGAGGTTCCTGCTGTGTTCTTGCCTTGTGACTCAATGTTATTTCTATCCATGTTTTGCGCCTTTTCCTTATTTCTGCATAAGTTGGGTTCTGATTTGTTCGCTTCCATAGTAGGTAGTTTCTGATAGTGTCTGATCAACGGAAAGGAATTATTTTTCCGTAAACAACTGTTAATGAATACCAGTACCTTCTGAATGATGGCTAATCAGTCCTTCGGGTTTCCTCCCCTTACACATTACATATATACGTAAATAATGATGGTGTAGAAGGTGTGTCGATTCCGACTACAGAAACTAATCATTCTGTCAAAAAATAAACATGTGAAAATCAATAATTTTTTGATGGTGTCCTACCTGACGTCATTATTCTGTAGAGACTTCATTCAACCATTAAGCACATCAAAGCGACAAGATCATCCTCATTCCGAGGTGCAACCACTTATTCAAATACAATGAGTTAACAGTCAAATCAGCCTCCTTTAGTTTCTAACGAATCACATATTCTATTGTTCTGTACAAAGTTCAATGAAAAAATATATACTCATAAGTGAACAAAGTTGATTCAAAGTAATTGGTGAATTCTGCTATAAATTTGTGTAACTTTTTAATGAATCAATTCTACTGTGAACATCAGAATCATTCCATGTGAGTTTGGTAATTTCTGTCGAATAGTATAAATTAGGCATGAGTTGAGATTTGTTTACAAGTCGTAATATGAGCAGCAATAACAATAGTTGAGTTTGATGTTATAGGCTTACTACAATAAAGAACACTTAGGAGAACTGATTCTAACGAGCTTCTTTTAGAAACACGAGAGAGACTCTCATTAAAGGTGAAAATTATGCATCAATTGGATGGTAAATATTGAGATAAAAATCACTTGTTGGCAGTTTTCAAGACCTTCAGTGTTTTTCAACAACCACGTTTGTAATAATCTCAAATGAATCAGTGCACACAATACTCACTGCCTTCAGGACACTTTAAAATACGACTTAATCTTTTCTGGAAATCACATGAGAGATTACTGAAGAAAAAACAAACTTCAATTGAATATTATATATGGGGATGATCAGATTGGTCAATATTAACTATTTTCATCTATTTGAGCGCTATAACATTGATGATTCTACATTGTACTAATGCAGTGAGCAGGTAACATTAATCTGATAATATCAATTTTAATCGGCCATCGATCTTAGTTTTTAATCTCGTAATGATGATGAAACAAACTCATGAGATGGAATTCAAATTCTGTTCATCAATCCATAACTGCTGAAATACGATAAAAAAAAAGAAAAAGAATGTGCTTGAAAATGAACATTCAGGGTTTTACGTTATCCACGAAATTGAATATATTCATTACTGTATTGTGGATTCTTTCTCATTTTAGTTAAACTAGGAATTGTTGATTATGAAAGGTGAATTTTCTTAGGTGAATTGTTTACAAATCTCTATTGCAAACAGTTCAATGATGATGAAATTCGCATTCGATGATGCATCTACGGAAACAAGTCAGGACAATTCTAGTTGCATGTAAGACATTTGTCATTTCATTTGACAGATTCAGCTTTAATCATTACAAGGAACCAGTTGTTCTTAATGGGCTCATATTAACGTAAGTAATTTATGTTTTAAATACAGATATTGCACTAAAATCACAACGACAATTTGCTATATATTACTATGAGGTATCATTCAACCAACAGAAGGACATTATGATTGAGGAACGGAAAATTAGTTTGTTTCGTTTCAATTACAAACCATACTCATTTTCTGTTACATCACATCACAATAAATGATCATACAAAAATGTACCTATGTATTGATTTCAAGTAATAAATATTGGTAGAAAATGTTCAGCGAATACACATACGACACACAAATTACTTCATTTGTGTGGGATGTGATACTGCTCGGATGAAAATGCCGAAGCAACTGGTTTCCTCACAGAGCTGATACGGAGCACACGACCAAGGCAGTGGAGAGACGTCAGTAGAAGCAGTCCCAGGGTAGCTAGTGACCATTAACTCGTGTAAATGTATCATTGGTTTGGAAGCAGGGTTTTTCAATTCCCTTAAGTGGATTTTGGTGTACACTTATCAGGTTGTATACGCGTGTCCATGTGAGAGCGTGTCCATGGAGAGTGAATTCTTCTAAAACCTCGGACATAAGAGGGAATATTATGCATTAAATCAGATTTTTGAGACGACCGCTCATTAAGTAATCTAGTCGTCAATTATTTAGCCAAGTAACGTATGCTTCAGAAAATGTCGAACTGAGGAGTTGATGAACTTGCTCAACCATTTCATGCATTCAGTTTTCGCAGAACATTTAATGCACGTTACTATGGTTTATTTTATCTGTGAGCTTAGTATGTTGTTCAATACTTTCTTTTGTATTTCAGAATGATCGGTTTAATTCTTGGATTATTAATAATGCTTAATAAAAAACTACATATCACATCCACGAAGAATAGTTTATTCATGGTTATAACCGTCAGTTGAATATGGTTTAAAATGATATTCGTGGTATTTTCATCCAACCATCGATTGAAATTATTGTAGATTTGTTTGTTAAATAATGAAAATATTGTCATATTCGTTTAATAACTGTTATCGAGTTACGAGAATGTTTGAAGGTTGACCTGAAAAGATGTCTTTTGCTGTTGAACGTTAAGATCCCACTATGCTTAGAGATCCAGAATCAGTAGTTTTACAGATTTCTGTGGTGATTCGGTTGTTTAGTAGCTATTACTTAACTGATAACTGGTGAAAATAAAATAACAAAAAAATTTATCCGTCCACGCTATTGGATAATTCAGAAATATTCAGATGTGGATACACATTATACCGGTACATTATACTCTAATCTACGTTTGTTGTCATAACAATTTGCAAGATGAGGACTTGGTTGTAAACACAAAATAACTAAACAAACTGGATTTATGTCATTTTCAATTGTATGATTATCCACACAATTTGTATATCACTGAACTAGCTGTCGTGATTGCTCGTTTATCCGAGTTGGCATAATTCACACCGTTTAGGTGATAAATCTCACATAATATGGTCATTTGTACGGGGTGAGAGAATTAGCTATGAAACAACTTCATTTTTTCATTATAATAGACTTGGTTAAGCATTCATTGGTGTGTGCTTGTATCCATCAATTTTTATTCTTAATCTTTTCAATTAAATGCTTGAGAGTGAAGATTCTTCTTTTAACTTCCGAACTAATAATAATTCGACTTTATATTTTCCATATTCAGATGATATTTCTAGATGTCGGTGTTGCATTACTAATGTCAGTTGGAAAATGGTACGAACAAATTATTTCTGTAACTGTGGCTACCGCGCTCCTCATCATAGCCATTTTATTGGGTGTAAGGCTAGATAGTTCAGAAAGGAAATGGATGATACTCTTGTGTGTGATGTGTGGCGTATTTATGTTAACTGGAATCATTCTCATTGTTTTGTGGGTGATATTTAGAAACGTAAGTTTGTCTTATGGTAGATTTCTTTAAACTAATAGTGATTGCTGTAGTCTTGCAGATTGTTTACTTGAATGCTAACAATGTTTCTGATATTTATAAAGATATATAGTGAAATTACGTGAATTGTTCTCTATTCTTTATTTTAGAAATATTTAATAGTTGTAACTTTGGTTTGTTGGTGCGGCGCAATGTTCATTGTAAGTTCTGAATAAATAAAGACTCCAAATACAAATAACCGTCTTTTGATTATTATGCATTCAAACATAGCGTTCTTTATAAACTAGAACCTTGAAGCTATGGTGTTTTCCATTTACAGTGTACACAAGTATTCGTCACGAAATATTTTGAAGGAAACATTGAGAGATGCAAATCTAAATGTCTGAGTGGAAGAAACTGATTGAAGAAGTATATATATCATTCAATTCGTCTCTTCAAGTGCATCGCTCAATTTATATGATGCTCTAATATATAAACGATCATCTGTCAATTATTGACAGATCAATGTTCAGAAATTACTAAGTTGTTTTTCTTATAACTGTAGATGTCTATTATTTCACTGATGCGTATGATGATATGAATGCATCAATAATGAAGTAATCATTGACGTTCTCATAATTACAGGTGATTATATTCACAACATATTATCTACGTACACACAGTGAACAACAACATTTTTCTACGCTCTACTGTGTTTTCCAATTGATGTATGGACATATCATACTTGTCGTCAATTTACAATTGTCTTTAAATACACTCATCGATTGTTATCCAAGAAATGAGACAATGATTGGAAACGATGATTGGATCCTTTTTCAATGAGTGTTTCAAATAGTTTACAGACATTCACAGATATTTAGGTTGAATATTTTGAAGAATATTGTAAACTGTTTTTCTATTCATAATAGATGTTCTGTTAAATAGATTTTCGTTTGTTGATTTAAATTTCTAGAAATAAAATATCCGTTTGAAATAACAACACACTCAATTGACGGGAAAAATTTGTTTGACAACCGTACCCTCCAAGTACACACGTGTAGAGACATTGACAAATGACTTCTTTTTCAGTGATTGATTTTGTTTGTCTGAAACTGTTTCAGGTGGACGGTTTCCATTTGTTGTATAGGCAACAACTACCATCTTACTCCCACAAAAAAGTAGGGAAGGAAAGTTTCTTCCCTTATAAGTTGCATATAGTGTCTTTCGAACTACACAGTCACTGTTTGTCATTAGTTGTAAATGTTCATTTTTCGCTGTTTAATGCTAATCTGTCACAATGTAGCATTCGTTTTATAAAGTGTACCAACTACAGTAGGTTCAATGACTGGTAATTGACCTGATTGCTAGCTTTCTCAAAATGTGATATTTATTCTTTTAATTGATCTGTTTACCATGTAAACAGGGTTTCCGAACTTCCGTAAATGAAATCTCTCCGACCACTAACACATAATGAAGAATTAAAAATCACTTCAAACATCATGTGCATGTTTCTTCGTATGTACATCAACAATCAGCATGAACATAATTAACAAACAAGAGACTCGATTCAATTAAAGAACACAAGTAAAAACTGCTAAACGAGGTTTTGAAAGCAACATATTAAGTACCTTACGGAGGAAGAGACAGGTACATTACAAAATGTTGTTGAATTGTAAGATCAAACGTGGCTGGCATGAATACATATAACCTTCATCTTGTGAAATAGACGGGTTAAATCTCTATCTAAAGAAAGTAAAGTGAAACGACTGACTTTCGCGAAAGAATGAATTATTTTTTTCATTTCCACCCGTGGGTTAAAAATTATGAATTTTGTCGTTAATAATTTATACTATGACGACAGACAATGTCATTCTTATAAGAGTTTCTTTCATAGATACAATATCTGTTTAAGTGTTACATTCATGAATAGTTACACACTATTTGCAGTAGAACAACATTGCTTTATTAAACACATAGAGGAAGCCAGAGTTTAATGTTCAAAAAAAGGTTGAAATCAAAAGGTCATTAATTATTTTGACAAAAGGTGAATTGTATTTCATACATCTGGAAACATTACAATTTGCATACTTATAGGTAAGTCAAACTGATTTTAGTCAGGAGAAGTGACTTTGTATTTCTCCACGTTCCAATATTCACAATTAACATTAAATATCTTGTGGTTCTTAAGGTCAAACGAAGAGAATCTGTGAAACAAAGCAGAATGAAGTTCAATGGCCACCAACAATTCAGGTAATTTCGTGAACATTTTTTATTTAATCAGTCATCTACAACACAAAATCAGGCACTCTCGTTAATTAAACTTTCCGAAAATGTTACATATTCGTTCACTTTCGCATTTTAAAAACAGTGTGATATTGAATTAACCCAGCTGTTGTGGCGGATGTGGTCAGTTATAAGTGATATAGTATCTGGGTATATGTCTAAGGGTTCAAGATGACATACCCCGTATCAGGACAACAAGCTAAGATTGTCAAAGTAACTATTTATAATAGTAAAAGTATCAGTGATTCCAATGCTAGTGGATATGATTACACGTATACAATATGATTTGAGAAAAAATGAATGAGGTAAGATGTATAAATACTTGGGTCACACTTTTCCGCTAAAGAATACTAGTCATCCCTCAGTCTTTTCACTAGTCAGTGTATAGAAGGTAAGCATGTTAACTGGACGAAATGGACGAAGGGGGTCGCATCAATGTTTCATTGGTAGTTGGATGGCGCTAAGATTGCAGAATGTTCGATCTGAAATTAGTAATCTGTACCGTTATCGCTGAAGGTTCTCATCTTTTTTTGATAGCTTATCAATGCGACTGCTCGAAAAGTCATCTGTACAATGAGCTTCGATTTTCAATGTTGCTTAGGTTGATGTTCTCTCCTCAAATTTTCACTAGTTACAATTTTTGTTTTTGTGGTTGAGGTGAAGATTATTATAGCTAGTGAGTTGAAGTATAGGACGACGTTTTCATATGATAGACGTTGCATTCCCACTAAAGCGTATTATTTATTGAATCACAGTTTAATAAATTGTTCCCTTTTTTATATGACTAAACACATTTCAGTTTAAGCAGTATAAAATGTTAACTTGAAATTATCTAGTTTTCTATCATCTTCTACTTTCACACGAACAAGCAGCAATATGTATCAAGAATTGTGGTGAGTCGTAAACTCTTTCAAGTTCGACAAAAAAAAGTCATCTGATATCTGACGTTAACCAGCAACTGTCCTCATTCCAAACAATGATTTATCACACCCATTTTGTCCTAGTCATTAAGTGAACACTCAGAACGACTCTTTGAGGTCTCAACCGAATCCCAAAAAATACAGAACATGGGGCCGACTGAAAACTAAGTCATTTAACCATTGAAAATTGATCAATGGAAGAGAATTAATTTCGGTGACAGGTTATGAACCAGACTTAGAGAACTAACTACAGCTGAGTTTGTTTTGATTTAATAGTATAGAAGAACACCAAAATTTTTAAAAATATATATTAAGACAAAATAGAGGTAATAATAATATTGGATCAAACGCTGAGAAATGCAGGAACTTCCGAAACAACAACCAGAATTACGAAGAATGAGCAACTAATAGAACAGTAAATTTAAAGTGAGTTTTTCAAAGAAAAAACCCAAAAGAAAGTGAAAATAAACAATGAGCGTTAGATGGGGAAGACCGAATATTTTGACACGGGATAAATAGAAATAATAATGGTAATTAGAAAGATGATATTTTCATTATAAATGGTTGCCATATATACTAGTAGAAGTCTTATTTACCGTATAATACGTATCATAATAGATCTGCATTGGTAAAAATCTAAGACAGCGAAGTTAAAATGTGACAAAAATCCATAACTTTATCCACTGATCACCGGAGCTGTATCTGGAACTTCCAGAGCCCATGCATAGGCTAAGAATCCGTCCAAGTGGTGAAGAACATAAATAAAAGAATTACTTATTTAGCTTACATCATTTTATGTATTCCTTAACTGTCTTAGTAACAAGCCTTTTGTTACGTATTGATGTTACTTAGATCCCTGTCCAACTTTTACTATTCTCATTTATTAATTTTTTTATGCTGAATGATGTAACTATTAAAGCAAGTTATTTCTTAATCATATTTTATAGTGTTATCATATAGCATTGCAGGTCAAACTTTTCAAAAACATACAGCTTACATACTGAATACAAAGTTATTGATTTCAGTTTAAAGTAATCACCAAAATTACTGATTTTTATCTAGATAAGTTTGTCATTCGTACCTTACGTGTATAGATACAAAAAGCTTAAACGTTGAGTGTATCTTTGGATGCATAAGTGTTATGGTCTTTAAGGAACTACAAAAGTCGGCTTTTTTCATTGTTGTCATTACATTTCTTTATATATAAAAATAAAAATAACACACGGCACAATTTAAACCTAGTTGTAGCAAGCCAACATGCTTTTTTACTGTTGATGATTAGATGCAATGTGATTACTGCACTGTACACTGTACACAACGGACTCACACTGGCCGCATATAAACGGTGCTGCAACCATTATGACGTTGATTGTGCAAAGCATATTGTTCTATAATCAACTTCATAGCATTTACACAAGGACATAAGTATAAAAGGCATGTACGCATTTCAGGTAGTAACACCGTCGAGACATCTCAACCCTGGGTAGTTCGAAGGAAGATGATGCACGGCCACCTCTTCACAGGCCGGAATATTTGACACTTACTAAGACAAAATAAGAAATGTTGAAATACTTTGCACAATATATTGCAACCCCACTGACTTTGATATTCAATATGTTATTTGATCTGGGTGTAATACCAATGGACTGGAACCATGCATTCGTCACCCCCATACATAAAACAACGAACACCCTTATAGAAAGGGAATATCGGATAAAGGCGCTAGAAGTTACAATGTTTAGTGTTCTTAAGACGACAGCCCATCGGCGGAAAGTCGCAGCTAAAAGACTCCGCACCTTCTGTGCTTTAAATCGGACTTTAACTTACTTAGATACTACCATGTTCACCACAGTATAAACAAGCTTGGTGAGAACAAAGCTTGAGAACTGCGTTGAGGTTGCAATCACCTGTTTGAATGGTGACACGAATATCTCAGAAAAAGAACAGATGGCAGCATCACACACAGTTCCAAAACTCCAAGTATCACCATAAAAAGAGTGACTTGAACATCTACACAATGTTTTTTGTCCCATCCCTGACCAAGGAGAGATATAATTTGGTGTATAGAATACTAAGAAATGATTATGAACGTAATATATTCTCTCTTTCTACTCTCGCTAGATCGAGACGTATCAGGGAAAATCTCATTCGAATACAAAATCCAATAACGAACAAAATACCCTTGGCATGCAGGTTTCCACACCGAGTCATTATTACTTGAAATCTGTTACCAGAAACAGTGATGTCAGCATCTTCAATTGACACGTTCGAGAGAAGACTGGACACTCTTAAAAGCATACTGCGAAAGCACTAACATAAGCCGTAGGCCTTCTATCCCTACCACACAAATCTGAATTGTGATTGGATTTGACGTTCAGTTCACAGCACGCAAGTAGATAACAACCAATCTAGTTGATATGAGCTTCTACAAATCAAATGGTTTGCTTTTATTTTATTCATGGCATTACAGTGCATTCCTTTCATATTCTGTGGTAGTGAAATGTGATATATTTTTGCAAGTGCAGATACACGCCATTTTTACAGACATCATTTACAATTTACAACATTTGTCGTCTAGTAGTATGCATTGCAATTAAAGTCGTTAATGAAATATATAATCAATAAAAGTGAATATTAGATCATTCGTGAAGATGTATTGAAGTGTTATTGAACAAGTTCATGTCTCAGTACAACACTGAGTACAGTCTTCAAAATAGTTTCCAAAGCGTCATCACGTCCACGTTGCACACGAGATCTAATCCCAACATTAATGTGTAAGGATTTAGGTTGTAGTAAGCATTCATGCAAAGCAACTTTTTAAAATATTGTTAGGTGGACTTGTAGAGCACTAGGTGTGAATAATGATCTTGGAATATCAAGCATGTATATTTTATCACAGATGTCTAAAGTTCCATAAATGTGCCTTCAGAGAAAAATTATATGAAGAAAGTAAAACCGTGGTGCAACAAGGCACTCGTGTTTTAAGGAGTGAATGTTCTGATCTGCGTTCTCTATTATTCTTTCGCAAGTTGATGACATTAGTTCTGGTCTTTGGAGGAATCAGTGAATGCAGTAGGTTCTCCTGCCAGTTTGTGTTTATAGTGTTTACTTTGCACTACGTCATGTACAGAGTATATCTGATAGAAAACACTGAAGTTCTGTGATATATAGTACGTTCTTCTCAGTTTTCGGAGCTTAGACCAATACTTTTGGTTAATATAGGGAGTAATTGTTTTGGAAGCGATTTCATGGAGCATAATTATGTCCGGTGCATATATGAAGGTAGCATTGAATATTTTAATACTCTTGGTAATTTATCACTAGTAAATGAACTGCCCAGTGAAAGTGCACTATTAGAAATTAAAGGTCTTTCTAGTCAGCGTTTGTATAGTCTCTATATTGGGAAGGCCTACTTAGTGTCTTTACGTTTTAACATTTGAAAAATGTCGAAAGAGTGCAGGCAATCATTTTATGATCGCTTTTGTGAAACTTTTCGCCAACCGTAATTGTGCGACATTGTGACAAATATCAAATCAAGAGTGTTGTGATTTCGTTTAGGCGGGTTCATGTTATGCTGCCAACCGTTTATGCCTAAGGACCTGAATATTCTCCCATTGCACAATGTCCCAGACTGTGTCTTCCAGTTCATGGTTGGAAAGTTTAAATCGCTACGAACAATTTTTTAGGCGAAATCAGGCGAAGCAGCCTTGACAAATGACTCGCATATAATAGTGTTTTTTGAAACGGGTGTGCTATGAGCTAGATATACACATCCGATTAGTATTTAACATTTATGGGTGTGTAAAGTAACCTATATTGAAGGAGTATGTTCATGGAAAAGAATGTGGGATTGCCTGGTATTTCGGCCAGGAGCGGTGTCTCTGTTGTGTGTGGTTGTGTTCTGGTTCCCGAATCTGTCAAGGTTCACACCAAATGGCATACTTGTATCGCGTGTAGGTGTGCGTTTTTTGTCGGGTTTAGAGTAACGTTAGTATGAGCAGTTGCTGACAGTCCACTTTGTTTGTTGTATGACATTCGACTGTTTTGGAATGGTGCATGTTGCGGTGTTACGTTGCTGAAGTACTTTTGCATTTCTACAGAGAATTCAGCGTTGTTTCGTAATGAGGTATTTGAAGGGCTTTAGCTTCTGTAGAATTCCTGTGACGATTATGTTTTATGCTTTTATTGAAGCCCCTGAGGCAATGATGTGTCACTAAAGAGGCATAAGTTGATTGGCATTTTGAAGTAACTGAGTGTTTAAGCTTAGGATGAATGTTTGCAGTTTCTTGATGTCCAGTTGTTTTTGTAGGGCTTTTAGCAGCATGACTCCGTTTTTGAGAGGGGTAGGGTATGGTGATTTTAGACTTGTGTATTGACCTTTGTTGTAACTGCCGCTACTACGTGGGCCGGGTTGATGTTTTTGCACTTCACTAAAGATTAGACGCTGGATAGTTGTCCTGTCATGATTATTCCTTATCTTTTGAAATGTTGGAATATGCCTTAGTAATAACTGCCTATTACGAAGGTGATTAGCTTCTTTGATATTGCCGAACTGAAATAGAATGGGACAAGAGGCTTGGGCCTGTGCTCTACGTATTCTTCCTGTTACTCATCAAGTTTGCGACAAACCACATTATTTCGGTAGAGTATTTTTAGCAAACCTCAAGTTCGCATTATCAGGTATGTTATGCACAATGACATTCTTTATACACTTTAGTCTTTTCAACACTTCACATGATAGATTTTTAATTTAATTTTCAGTATCTCATGAACAATTTCTAGGTTCTCCAAATTTTTGTGATCTTCTGGAACACTGATTAAATATTTGTACGGTGATATGTCTTGAATAGTTTCGGTGAGGCTAACTCTTATTAGACTACTAGCTGTGAGATTGTTGGAATTTATATCAACATTGTTAGGTTTTATATCGTCGCATACAGTCATGTTGCAAGTGTCGTCTGGGTAGTAACTTTGTGTATACATAGTTGAGGAATGGAGTATATTATTGGGTGAGTGGTGGAGATCTACATTATTCGGCTGGTTATTATAGATGAGCATACATGTACGCCGTGAGTAGCTACACTGGATGGTGGATTGTGGTTTCGTTGAATGCTTAGAGTCAACTGCATTGTCTTGATACTACTCACAACATATGATATACCAGGTGGGTTCCACATGATGTCAACTCAAACGGTATGTGACTAGTTTCATTTATGTCTACAAGCGAGATCTAAGGTAGTGATAAGGCGTGCCCAATTACATGTTGCACGTCTATTGTAGCTGTATAAAAATCAGAGTGTGATACAGACTGATCAGTGTGTTAAGAAAGCTTCACATTTTTTGCTTCAGTTACTAATTTCGGTCCTTTGCACGTCCTATAGGCACCATGGAGGGTTGTATTATTTTTTCAGATGTTATGAAAAATATTGAAAGCAATGTAAATATAAGGTATTGTATTAAATGAACTGTAACTTTTATATATCAGCAGATGTGTAAAGTGTTATGGTAGGATTAAATGCAATACTTGTTAATAACTCATATAATAACTTTTATGAACGAAAAGTGATGGTGGCTTGAAAATAAGCGCACCTAATATATGGGTCAAATTATTAGAACGACATCGTAAACGAAGTATTTTTTCGCTAATGAATGTTGTTAAGTGAAATGAGAAAACCATTAGGAAGAAAAAATATAACCACGTGAAGGAAGTTACAACATTAAAAACCCATGGGTAACCTGTATGTTGCTAGTTTGATTATTATTGTGATTCATGTTATTCTTTCTAAATTTCGGCACGCGACAATCTTGTTAAATTTGGTATCTCTGAATTTTGCAGCACACGGTTTACGACCACGACAACATTTAAATTCACCGTCGCAAATCAGAAAGAACGAGAAAAGCTGTGGAAATGCTCATTTGGTAAGAATGAAAGTGTACGAAACATCACGTTCATTAATAGATATCAGCACTTGGTAAACAAACATTATATTTTGACCTATCCGCTAGTGAACAAAAGCAGCTTGCCACGTCTATATTTTAGTGTGCTACATCATGTTATGATTACCTGGAACGCATACGCTCATGCAAAAACAGTCGAAATCTTATCAAGGTCAAAACATGTCTTATGTAGAATGAATAAATTGGCCCGTTAGAAAGCTAAAATAAAATAATTCGGCTTTACATGATAAGCGACACTATATGGCCCTCTTGTAAAAAATAGCACATTTGAAAAATGTCATTTTTAGGAAATAATTCTGTACAGTTATATGGTCAACGTTAACAAAGCGTAGTGCAAAAGCGGTACTACACTCAATAAAGTGTCATACGAAGGATGTGTGTGTTATAGAAAGTGTTATGTTTATGTAAAAGGACACATGAATATAGTATAGCCGATGGATAAAAATGGAAATGTTAACATACAATTATGAACAAATCATAAACGTACAAAACGTTATCATGCAGTTATGTTTCTAACTGTTTGAATGGTAAAATAACACGTTTATATGAACAATTCAAAATGTAGTGAAAACAGTAACTAATCGTTTGTAAGCATGACAGCGAAATAATTCGTGAAAATCAGTTGAAAAGAATATAACAGAAAATGATCAGTAATGCTGACAGATTAGTGACACATGAATACGTTTTGATGAGCTGAAGCAGAGTAGGTAGCGTCGAGCAACAATGATTGTATTCGGATTTAAATATGTAGAGTTTCCTTTCGAAGAATGAAAATATTCAAGTTTTAAAATGATAACTGCAGTGACGGGTGGTATTCGCTACTGTTCTGCAATCGATAATAATCATGAAATGTAAAGTCAGTGTACCTTGTCGTTTGCGTTATGACAGTAGCACTGACATATCAATAAGTATGTATTATCAGAATGACAAGACGTACTGAATAGTGACTGATGAAAAGTCATTTCTTTTTTGTTGAAAGGTGGAATCCGAATGTCATTGAAAACTTTCTGATCTTCAGGCTCAACTAGATCTGCTATTTGTGAATTGAAATGATGCTTTATGCTCATGCACTTCAAACTATTAAATCAGTAATATACTGTCACTTCCCGGTTGTTTGCTGAAACACAGATCATGCAATCTTATCGCTTCGTCTACTTACACGACGTTGACTAGGCGTTAGATGTGGAATGACTTTTATGCTCTTGTGTGGATATAATGAGCTTACATTCTGCTCGAATCAATAAATTGTGTAGCATCGTTACAACATCCAAAAATAAAAATAGGGTGGATGTTGACCTACTCGACGTTTTTTCAAGGCGGATGACTTTGCTATTAACGTTCAAAAAATTTGCTTTAATTAATTGAGACATGAGCGGTCATGAGATTCTAAAAAAACTGCATCACGGGAAGACATCACTCGATTCGCCGTTTCTTAGTAAAATATACTGTCTGGTAAACTGTGTTGCATTTGAACTGCACGTAGTAATTCTGCATTTTATGTCAGCCAGTTTGACGGTGGCATGCTGCACGAAAATATAGAGTGTTTGCTTCATTGAGGATCAGAAAGTGATAATGTTGAGATGGTATATCCTGAAAATTCATATTTGTAATTTCATCATACCGATTAACGTTTCGATTAAATATTTAAATATTTGAAAGGAAGTCAAATGATGAACTCATCGATTAAATATTTCAATGTCAGTCAATTGATGAACTTAATGAGTCATATTTAAAAAAACCGTTTTACTATGACAATATCGATCATATATATATACGTTTTAAATTGTGTTTGAGTGCTCGCTTGCTTACTAGCTTGCTCGCTCGTTTTCTGGCTGTTTGTAGAACATATTTTCCATACCAAATCTGAACTTCTCCTTCTAGAATACAGGGCTGAGACGCGTCAATAGTTAGATCACTAGTCTTTGCTCACTGAGTATTGTTCTCGTTCGCAGTCTAAGTGAACTCGTGAAGCTTCAAGCCTATCAGAAAGTATGTATGATAATTAGTTTCAGATATAAAACGTTCAGTTATCTGGCAAGAGTAACCACCAATTGAATAATTATATTTCATTTAGTACGATTCACAGATAAGGACGTGACAATGTGAATCGCTATGGATTCATACATGATATATAGGGGACGAAGATAGTGATATGTATGATATAACCAACAACCGTCCTCCAAATATACTTTCATAGGGTAAAATGTACGTAATGTACAAGATAAAACTTTAATCGCAGTATGATACAGCCTACAAAATATCAAGTCGAATGATTCCTATTCCCTTTGTGATGGATGGTTTCACTTTCAAATTTCGCGCTGGCTATAGAAGCAGCCATAACATCTGACACAAAAGGTTTTGCGCATCAAGATCACCACATTTTGTTACAAGGAATGTTTTTGACGTTACTAAAGTGGATGAATGGCAACAAGTGTGTGGGTCCATTGATTCAGAAACAGCGAACTTTCATCAAAGCAATAAATTTAGACATGAAATATCACAAACCTAAATGATGACGTTTATCTACCTACCTTCGGGGAATTCAAAACTCAGTTGGGTTTCAATAGTATGTGTTTCCAAGTATCTTCACGGTCTGTAGAATAAATTCACAGGAAAAGAAACACGATATTACTTCTGAATGTAGAGCATTTGGATTCGGCGACTTATCCTGGAGGAACACGTTTCGTGAACTCTCAACATGGAAACACCACATATTTATAGACCTTTCATTTTTAAACGTAGACGATTTGGCATGTATTTTGGCAAAAAGTAGACAATTTGTCAAATTTTAGTCTACTATAATATTAATAGTGCTTTATTCATGAACCATATCCTTGAATTTTAGATTTAGCAAGAACTGCCTAATTTATGAGTTCTTAGGTGAAAGCCAAATCATCGTCAACAGCAACTCATAGCATCTTAACAATCGCCAAAATATAATCGAGAACAAAATTGGGCCAGAGATAAAAAAAGTGTATTTAATACAAGTAAAATTAACGTAACTCTGCCTGGAGAACCTCCGGGTCTACCACTGGTCCGAAGCCCGGAAAAAAGAAGAGTGTTGTGTATGGGGTTAGCGACACCATCCCGTAGAAAACTTATTCGCTAAAAAGACGCTAACCATAAAAAAAAATTTGAACATTTTAAACTCTTCATTGGGTATCAAAAGATCTTCAATCAGAAGAACTAAGACGCCTCATGATGAAAGCCGAGTTCTTTCGGAAGTTACGAGGCCAATGCCTCTTCTGACAAACATAGCAGCCATTTATTAAGAACGTGACATGTTCGTACAATGTTTGACACCGGGAGAGCTTTCAGAATCGCTGCAGAAATGAGGAAATACAACCTAGAGGTGCATGGGATCAGTGAAACACATTGAACGCAAGTTAGACAGCAACGACTCAAATCAAGAGAGATTCTGTTACACTCGGACCATGATAAATAAAATGCCCCACATGCACTGGGAGTTGAATTGATGCTGTTCAAACGAGCACAAAATGCACTTATAGAATTGGAATCTCATGGACCAAGGATCATCCAAGCCTCCTCCAAAACAAAAACAGAAGGCATTTCAATGAACATCATCCAAAGTAATGCGCTAACCAACGTCTACAATGAAAAGGCTAACGATCGATTCTACGATAAGCTGCAGTCAATCATTGAGAAGTGCTCAACAAAGGACCTGATCATTCTGATGAGAGATTTTAATGCTAAGGTTGGAATGGACAACAATGAATATGAAGACAACATAGGATGACATGTCGTAGGCGGCACCATATTCCCACATAAGCCCATTCACAAACACAAATGTACTTCACCGGATCGCTGTTCACAAAACCGAATCGATCATATCTCTATCAACAAAATGTTTAGAAGTACTTGCGAACCAAGAGAGGAACTGACGTAGCCTCAAATCATCACTTGCTGGTTTCCATGATGAAATTGAAACTCAAGAAGCATTAGACAATGCGGCGGACAATATCAAGAATGTTCAATAGATCTTTATGCAGGATACTGACAAACTCAACAAATTCAAGATAATTTTGAGCAATGAAATGCAGGACTTTCATGATCTACTCAATGGAGAAGTAGCTACTATGGAGAGCAGCCGGAAAAAAATCAAAGAGACAATTACTTCAACATTTCAGGAGGTCCTGGGCCACAAGAAGCACCATCACAAGGAATGGTTCACTGTTGATACACTGAATAAGATTCAGGAAAGGAGGAACAAGAAAGCAGAAAACAATAGCAGTCGAACAAAAGCAGAAAAAGCCAAGTCACAAGCTGGATAAAAGAAGTAAACAAACACGTGAAGAGGTGCATCAAAATCTAAAAAACGTTAAGATGTGGAAAATTTAGCAACAACGGCGAAAAAGGCTGCGAGAGGAGGAAACATGAGACAGCTGTATAACGCGACAAAGAAACTCTCGTCGCGAACCAGAACGATCAGTGAAAAGCAAGGAAGGCGAAGTAATCACCAACATTGAAGAGCAACAAAACAGGTGGGTAGAAAACTTTAAAGGACTCTTTAATCGACCAGGATCACTGAACCCATCCAACATTGGACCAGCACTCACGGACCTCCCGATCAATGTTGGCTCACCAACAATTGAAGGAATCAGCATGGACATCAGACAAATGAAGAGTGGCAAAGCAGCAGGACCAGACAACATTCCAGCAGAGGCAATGACAGCAGACGTAGTAGCAACTATTATGATATTCTACATACTCTTCAATAAGATTTGAGATGAGGAACAAGCACCAAAAAACTGAAAAGAATGAATTCCGGTGAAAATGCTGAATAAAAGCTATCTCAGAAACTACAGAGGCATCACTGTTCTCTCAATACAGCGAGAAGTCTTAAACAGGGTACAATTAAACAGATTGAAGAACTTCATAGACATCCATTTCATTGACAAAGAAAAGGCATTTGAAAGCGTGGACAGAACAACAATATGGAAGCTTCTTCGATACTACGGCGTGCCTCAGAATATAGTCAATATCATACAAAATTCATATGATGGATTAAACAGTTGACAATTTCGTTCGAAATAAAGGCCGGTGTCACGCAAGGTTGCTTAT